GTTTTCTCGAGTCTGCTCTTCACGAGACATAGTTAGACGTCTAAGTATAATCGAGGCTAACAATTTAGAAACTATATTAGTTAGACTTATTCCCCCGTGATTGTCAAAAGAGGACTTTTGTCCTTTCTTGTAGATTGGGACAATTAGCAACTGAGACCAGTCAAATGGGATTACGTCCAGTTCCCAGATTCTATCTAAGATCTCGGTCATTATAACTGTTAAAACTGGACCACCATCCTTAAACATCTCAGGGGTAAACCTATCAGGACCTGCTGTTCTACTTTGTTTTAGATTTCCTATAGCTTTCTCAACTTCATGTAGACTGGGAGGACTTCAATCAATTCGCCATTCAGGATGACTGGAGATCGTGGGTAACCGAAGAGTGGCTCGTGGCCAGTTGAACTGATCCCTAAAGTGTTCTGCCCATCGATCCAGTCTCCTGGATTGAGAATAAATAATAGTCCCGTCATTTTCTGAGATAGTCTCACTTACACTAGGATTCCTAATACCAGTTTCCTTGATAAGTCGGAAAAGTTGTCTACTGTTGCCTATCGCCGCTGCCTTTTCCATCGCTTTTGCTTTCTCCACCCACCACTGTTCGCGATCGTTACGTAGGCTTTTCATAAGTCTGCGCCTAAGTTGACTTCGTTCTTCATCATGTTCAGAGCCAGGTGGGATGAGTTTTCGAGCATCCATCAGATCGGTGGATGCTACTGAGATCCACGGCTTCATTCTTGCCTTATGGTCAACCTTACTAGCAGATATAACTGCTGTTTCCACAGCCTTTTTGATAACATAAAAACCTGCTTCTGGATGAGAATCACTTAAATGGTTGCTTAACTCTGTTTCTAGTTCCTCCCGAAATATTTTCTTAGTTTGATTATCATTAAGTAAAACCCTAAGAGGCTTCCTTAAGGTGTCTTTCCTACGTCCAGTAAGCCTCAAACAAATACGCGCTCGCACTAGGGCATCATCTTATTCTAAACATGTGCCCCAGAACGAGCGACAGTCTTCTATCGAACCCCTCCATTGGTGGCTGATGGGAATGTGATCTAGTTGGGTCCAACGTTGAGACGATTTCGGGGGTCGCCAGGTCAAATGGTGCTTTTCCTTATGCCTAAAGTTAGTGTTTGCTAAGAATAGGCGGTTGTCTGAGCATACTTGCAACAGACGGTCACCATTGTCTGTTCTCTGAGCCGCGACACCATAACATCCACCTAGGTGTCTCTCCTGCTCACTTAGTCTACCTACTTGTGCATTGAAGTCACCAGCCATTATTACTACATCAGAGCGCCTAGCTTTTTGGAGGAGGTCCGAAAGCTTTCTGTAAAACTCATCTTTAACCTCGTCTGCACTGCAGTCAGTGGGGGCATAGGTAGATATGGCGAAAAGGCAACGACGGGTGTCCCCATCTTTCCGAGTCCTTACTGTCCCGTTTAGTCGGAGGGCGCACAAACGACTATCTACTGGGATCCAGTCAAGGAGAGATTGTTATGCCCTACGACTCAATGCTATACCTACACCAGCGAGACTTCGGGAAGCAGCATCAGAGCTACCGGATACACGAAGGGTAAATCGGGCTGCATCTTTGTTTTGGCAGGGCGAAATCAGGTTAATGACTTTACTAGGATCCTGTATGCGCGTTTCCGAGACACAGCACACATCGATTGAGCGAGATTCTAAAGTCCTAGTTAATGAATCCTGTTTCCCTATTTGAAAAAAGCTCCAACATGTAGTTTAGAACGGGGCTGCAAGAGACCAGGAATAACGTTTCGGAAACCCAAATCGTTTGCTGCAGAGGTGCGGGGAGATAAAGGAATATGATTAGAGTTATTCGTAGAGATAAGAAAGATAATAGGGGGTGTAGGAATGATTTGATTTTGACCAGTTTGGTCTCGCGTGCTGTTACGGGTATGAGTACGGTGGTCACTTCCCGGCTGCCCCCACCATGCAAGGTTGTTTCTTGAGTAACCTGAAAAGGAATCAATAAACATCGTTATTCTATAACGCGACTATTCTTGGTTTCGATTCGTTTGCGAGTTTTAACATGGCAATCATCCACACCACTAAGGCAGGTATTTAGGCAGAGGTTTATAGTCATGCAAAGAGAATATTCAGAAAAATGTTTGGAAGACCGTTTATAATGGCACATAGAATCTCTGAAGTTGTTAACGGTAACAACAAACAGATCATTGACGAGCCAAAGCATGTGACAGGCATTTTAGACAGTTTATTAACCTACAGATATACTCAATTGTCTATGAACTTGTCAGGAATTGGATCAGAAATCTATCATGGAAATAGTAATTCAACATCTTCCAACTAGACTTCAAAGTAAATGTAGAATCCTTTTTGAATGTTTTGTGTTTTGGAAAATCCCTCCATGTTTACATATTTTTGCTATGACATGACGGACTTTTTCTGTTGACATTTTTGGTATTTTATTTGATTCCAATTTGAGATTTTATCATTGTATATTGTTATTCTTTCTATATTTTGTACTTATATTGAAGTTTTTGTGTTTGCTTCTGAACTGTACATATGTTGTTTAAATTTGATATAATATGGCTACCGCCACATTTTTGGACTGATGCAGTGGCCGCTGGACTTAGCGTCACTTATTTGTTTCTGTGTATGATACTCTGCGGAGTAACTGAACCCTGGAAGAAGCACTATTTCCAGGTAATGCTTTGTATTTCCATTTTTTAACTAATACAGACGCTTTCTCCTAGAATTTTGTCCTTTTTGAATTGGTTGGGACCCGGGACTGGGAAAAGCGTACAGGAGTGCCTCTATTGGAACCCCTTGGGACGGCCACTGTAGAAATATAAATACAGTAAATGAAAAAATGGGCGCTATCACGGAGGATGAAGTTGGGATTCTCTGATTTCCGATATTTTAGAGTAAGTCTATCGTGATGCGAATCTGTCTTCAAGTAAGTTTGATAGTATAGTGTATGACAGATCATCACAGTACTTGAAGCAAAAGTTAGCTTATCCCCAGCTTATGTAACGTTGCACATGAAGTTGGAAGTAGCATCGGTGCCAGATTAATCCATAATTTCAAAAATGCGCTATTTCACCTACTCGTGCGTTTCAACTTTATTAGGTAAAAGAGTGGTTTTTCTTATTATGTGTAATGTTTTAGAGGCATCTCAAGTTTTAGAGCAGGGATTCAGATTTAGCAACGAGTTATTGGTAACAAAACACCTTCAATTTGGCTCATAAGAGGTTCGGCGTCGTCGAGGACCGATGTTGCATGTCAAAAAACATTGCCTAACTCGGATGTAGGAGTAACAGGGCGTGTTTTTCGTGAAGGCGTCAATGGCTATAATCCGGGAGTGATGGTACTGTCTGTTGAAGAAATCAGAGCAGCGAAGCTGGTTGAGTAATATTATTACTTCAACAAGGACCATCGCTCGACAAGTCTTCCCTGGGAAAGGGAAAAAAACAGACCGTTTATTAGTAATGCAGCAATCATACTCTCTGATAGGCTCAGAAGTAGATTTAAAAAGGAAACTGCACTGTGGACGAAATGTAAGGAAGTAATACATTAGCACTAGGAGGTTGTTTTAACCTCAGCAATGTCTCTACTGGAAGAACGCATACAGCTATTTTACTGAGTTATTATGCAGGAGATCATAACAGCGAATGCCATGTAGGCTTGACCCAGGTGCACGTCAACTATCGAAATAAGTATTGGATTCTCGAAGGAGTCAATACTACAAAATTTGGTCAATAGATGTGTGAAGTATAGAAGGAGGAATCCTCAGATGGCGGAAAAATGATGATGCTCATTCCAGAGCAGATAATGTAAATAGGCAATTATCGATTTGAGTATGTTCGATTTGACCTGGTTAGACCATTTTTAGTTAAGAGGAGGAGAGGCAACCGTAAGAGACATCGCTGCTATGTTTCTTGTCTAAAGATGTAGAATTTGCACATGGAGATGGCTAACTTCTTATCTACTGATGCTTTCATCTTAGCTCTTCTTAGATTCGTGGATCGAAGACGTGCGTCAAAGGTGGTTTTTAGAGATAGGGGGAAAGATTTATTGGGCAGTCTGTTAGAACTGGGGAAGTAGTTAAGCGATCTCGAAGAGGAAATTCACGAGGAACTGCTGCATCATAATATACAGTAGAGATGAGTTCCTCCTCCAGCCAATTACCCTGAATGCTGTGAGGTGTAACAGCTACGATAAAATGTATTCTAAGTGCTATAACTGATGGACAGTATTTAACGGAAGAAAGGATTAGGACATTTCCTAGTCAATTTCAGAGAAGCTTGAATGATAGACCGTTGCAACCGGTGAAGGACGACACTAGATACTAGTGTTAAAATCAGATAACTTAATCGTACTTGGAAGTAACGAATGATCACGAGAAGGTAGCATTCAGAATGATTACATTTTCAGGAGATGAAGACAAGCGAAACATTAAGTAGACGCTTTCTTGGGGGAATGGTTCAAGGAATACATCATATCTATTCAAGTGCAGAACAGGTGGGGAAGCTCTAAGAGGAACCTTCAGAGTAGAGAGTTGTACATGTAGCTGGTATGTCAACTTCAAGTGGCCAGATGAAGTAACTCAAAATGTTCACACTAGTGAAGATGGACTCGTGAAAACTGTAGACTAACAATGGCCTACTTGTTAGATGCATCAGAAATTTATGTTTACTGGAGGATTCAGATGAATACCAAAAAGTAGGCAGAGAGTCAAGTAATTCCCCTACTTAACAAGAATATCCAGGGCGATAAAGCACGGTGTAATTGGGATTTACGGTTGCTCAATCAGTTGCAGTGAGGCTTGAAACAACAGGCAGATGTAAATAAGTGTGTTCACTTTACTGTATAAATATCCACATTATCGATTGTACTTCTGACATTATATTATTGTTAAAAACTCTGAGATGTCATTAACAGATGGCATCGAACAATTCAGATGGCTAGCCAACGTGATGCAGAAAACGAATTCAGTCATTGTGTTTGTTGGTTATGTACTAATGATTAAACTACTACGTTTTTGTTATTCGGGTGATTTGCTGAATATTGCTTATTTGAGTGAGTTTTCATCTTTCGATAAATTGAAAGACATTTCAACGCGAAGGTGAAAGAACGAAGCAGTGATCAAATTGGTCAGTTATGAAATTTTAGAATGAAATTTTGAAATAGAAAACGAGCACTAAACTGCGGGCATATAATATACGATACAAATTTGCCCCACTATGTTCCAGTATCTGTTGGGCTAAAATGTCGGCAGTCACAAACTGGAATACCTCAGCAGACAGGTAGAATACGAGTGGGATAAGTTGAAAGATAAGTTCTAGTCTGCAACATTACCAATCTTACTATGGTGAGGTGACCGTATTCTAGCATCCCGTATCTTGAAAAACAACTCCGAAGTTCAAAATTTTTGATCTCTCCATAACTAGTTATCTTTTAAGCCATTTGAGGAAGTTTCAAAAAACTTTTTCGAACACACTTAGAACATGGCCATTAACTGTAACACCGCAAACGAAAACGTGATAAAACCCACCAGTGAACATTTTGGAGGAGCTGGAAGCTCACAAGAAGAAAAGCTTCAAGTATCAACATACATCCGCTGATTTTCTGTCCTAATAACCGAAGACTTAGGTCCTATGATATATTCTGGTCGTTTGTTTTAACCAATCAAAAGGAGCTTTGACTTCGTGACCTGTAAAGTCCGCAAGCCTCGAAATGTGCGCATTTTTATTGTAATAGTGTGGTTAGTGTCCAACTGAGCGTTCGTGTCAGTTTTCCGTCATCATGTTCTCGAGAGAAAACATAAACCTAGCGGCTTTGGTCGTAGGTTCTTATTCAATAGATTTATGTATATAGTTTACTTTGATTCATTTCAGTGTAGTAGACTGTGACATATGTCCGGCAGACAGTTTTGCAAGTACTTTGAGAGAAGCTGACCAACATAGCTGTGTAAAGAAATGGTTGCCTGTTAAGCAACTACATTGGACAAAGAAGAAAAGAATACTGGTAATACATGTGTTGTCTTTTAAATAGTTGTTTGTTGGTTTTTAATTGTTTAATATATCTCCATTTTGACCTGCGTGTACAGGAAGTTTCACAGAGCACAAGACAATGTAGTGATATATAGTTATCGGGAAGACTACCTCATCGGCTCTGCCTCATTGGTCACTCATACTGAACATGCAGTTACTTTACTCGAGGAAGAAATGGTTTTTTAAAATAATTGTTCAGTTTCATGTCCCATTCTGTTAATAAAAAAATAAATTGCGAAGTAATTTCCCATGTAGCTCTTGTTGTTTACCGACAGGTTATAAGGGAAGACCTAACCTGAACTTGTACTCTTCAATCTTCAGCTTTCTCATGAAGCTTTTATCCAACTTTATATGTTCTAAGTAGTTATTATTTCTGCCATTAACATTATTATGTCCCATTACTGTTATGTGTTCTTCAATTGCTAAGTACCTTGGTTGTGTTGAGATTTTTGTCCAGTCTGAACGATTCCAAAGCACTTAATGGTCGATCTTATAGACGCCGTCGTCGAATACAAAATCCAACACCTGTTACTTGAAACTAGGTTTCCTATTTAACGATACGCTAATCAACAGTCACATTTTGATGCAGATAGAATTATATATAGGTTTGTATTTATCTTTGGCAGATTTTGTCACTGATTTTCGCTGTATGCCTGAGACTAGTATTCAAGACTTTCGTAACGTAACACAGATTCCTTCCCTAACTAGTGGTCTGAGGAAATGTTCCACATGCTCGTGTACAAGCACCATGTAACACCGAGATACTGTTTAGTTGGGATTAGTATCTCATTAAGCAGCACAGTAAATGCAGCACTGTTCAACTGCATCTCCACTGACAGTTGCTTATATTTTCAAAATATGATTACTTCGTTTGCGTAAAGCTCTTGTATTTTTTGTTTGTATTTCAAGATTGGCATAATTTAAGTAAATAAGTAAATATCTGATTTGATATACTTTGATAATGTAAATCTACGTTATAGATATCACTATTTATAACTGAAACATAATAAAACAGGTTAATTAAATAGGATTCATTTGATTTTCTGACGTTTATTTATTCGCAGTACAACATAAAATATATTATTTCACATAGTACTGAAACAAATTGTTCATTTAAATTTAGTTTGAAAAAATTTTCTTGAAATAAAACAGGAGATGATAAACTATGGACATAACATCAGGTAATTTTTTTACCATGGCACTAACTGACGGTAGTTCGAACGCTTGAGAAGCCTGAAAGTTGTAGTGCCTCCACATATATTCCAGTTCGCTTACATCTAACTTGGTTAAGTAAGCCCTTTCGATTAATTTATTTAACCAAGCCATTTATTTGTATAGCAACAATTTATATGTACCATTCGTTCTTATTATCCACTGGTTTGTATGAGCTCAGATGACATGTCCCACTTGTCATTTGACCTTGTCGATCACTCGTCGCTTTTATTCATGTGTGTGCACTCCTATTTCGCTTGTCATATGTCTGCCTTATTTTTGTCTGACTATATATTCTTAGTCATGTTCTATTTCTTGGAGTTGGCTAGAAAGCCTTCTCCAGTTCACGTCGCTTCATTCGTTTTATTCACTGCTTCTCCGCTTCGCTTTGTGGTGTGTCTCGAATAAACTTATTCATCACTACGAATTCATCTTCTGATTTATAAACCGTCAGACATTATTTGGCAACGATTGTCTGAACGAGTTAATTACCGAGCTTAAGAACACGCAGTAAATCGACACACTACAAAGTCTCTCCATTGGTTCTAAATACCCGTTACTTTCGGTTACATTGCGAACAAACATAGAATTATCATAGTTTTAATGGAGTTGTGTCCTCTAAGTTGGATGGTTTAATCTGAAAGCTTTGGCTGTCTTTTTCGACAACTTCATCAGCACAAACTTCAGGTAGAAGTGAGCAGTTTGAATTTCTGCATATATATAACTGTTCACTTGTTTTGTCAATCTTGAGTATGATTAGTTGCCTTCAATTATTGTTTCTCTTTTTTTATTATTAGGTAACTGGTGGTGCTGGTTTTGTTGGTTCTCATTTAGTAGACAAATTAATGCAAGATGGTCATGAAGTGATTGCTCTGGACAATTTTTTCACTGGAAGACGACATAATATTGAACATTGGATTGGACATAGTAATTTTGAACTTTTACATCATGATGTTACAAATCCAATCTATGTAGAAGGTGATTGATTATATATGATGTGTTTATTTTATAATTGTTTTGCTTAATAGTTTAAAATAATATCTGAACGGTGTTTGCATCAACTAAAATGATCAGTCAGTCAGTCAGATGCAACGTAGAACTTCGTACGTAAGTACATCAGTTCATGTTGCCATACCACATCAGCACACAAAGATGTAATTGTCAATTCAAATCCAATAGTAGTAGAGGTAGTAAAGGTATTAGAAGTAATCGGAGAGGTTAGGATTAGAAGATATTATTCGAGAAGTATGATTCAGTGAGAAAAGTTTAGAAAGTCAAAACAAGAGGTGTTGGAGAATCCAGAAGATTAGGATTTGAGAGAACACAAAGAATAAATGCAACGGCGCCATTGCGAACGATTTTGAGCCATGTCATTCAAGGTCTCTAGCCATCGATTATTATCATCTCGCGGACCCCAACCAGGTAGTCGACACTTACTTACATGACTCATTCCACTTGTCAGTGACTTCATGGATTTCTGTCATGTTTTGGTTTGGCTGCCCCTAACTTTCTTCTAACCTATTCCTACACTACAAAACAAAGCTCGTCGAGGCAGTCGGTGGTTGGGCATACGCAACACATGTCCCAACCACCTCAACTGATGAAGTTTCAGCACTTCATCTATTGATTTGCCATTCTTACCTAGCACCCGCTTCCTAATAACGTTAGTTGATATAGAACAGCTATCATCACGATAGACAAGCCCGACCACCATGTCAAGATAGCAGTTACAGTCAAAATTAATGAAAATTATCGTTCATTAAATCATTTTTTCCTCTTTTAAAAAATACAACCTCATTTACAATTCTTATTATGAATTACTAAAAAAAAAACTCACAAAGTAAACATGTTCGTTTGTTAACAATATCATATATTCATTCATTCATATATATATATAATTTATAGTATTTTCATTTGATTTTTATTTTTAGTGGATGAAATTTATCATTTAGCTTCACCGGCATCACCTCAACATTATATGCATAATCCTATACGTACAATTAAAGCCAATACATTAGGTACTTTAAATATGTTAGGTAAGTTTATCAAGAAAGAAATAGAAAGAATGAAATTTCATAAAATGTGTCAATAATTTTTTTATTATGGGGTTGTGAAAATTGTTAAGGAATACATTTCGAAACCTCTTGAATCGATCGAATGTTAGACTACCTACCATTAAAAGAAACCTGAAAGTATTGGACAGCCGTTTCGTACTGGTATGGAACTCATTAATGGCAGTGCGCATCCATGACTCTTTTACTTAGCAGGATTCGGAGCCAAGACCTTCGGTCATGTGCGCAAACGCCTAACCTGTGGACCACTGAGTTGCGCAACCTCATGGGTGCGCACTGTTGATGAGTGCCATACCAGGACGAAACGGCCGTCTTTCATTGCTTCCAGGTTTCTAATAGAGTGGTCTAACATTTGATCGATTCATGGTTTCAAAATGTGTAAATAATATTTAGTTAAGTAATTGTTTTCATTTTATAATCTTAGTCTATAAATAGTACTTATTTAGTTGTACCCGTTACTACTTATGGAGCATTGGTCACTACTACTGACCAGAATTCTCCCGCTCCTCCCTTATCCCTTTTATTAGTACTCCTGTTCTCACCCCGAATAAATTAAGAGGGTTCGGTATCGATTTTCTAAAAATTGCTAATCAGAAAAGTAACATATTTTTATTTATTACTGAAATAATGAACCAATTATTGTTAAACCACCATTAGAAACTTAGAATAACTGGATGGTCGTTTCATCCGTATATTGCACTCGTCATCAGTGCGCACCCATCACTACTGCCACTCGTAGGACTCGAACCCAGGACTTTCGGTCTTATGCGCGAACGCCTAATCTCTGGACCTGGCATCCAACGGAGTTAATGTCCAACTCTGATCAATCTAGGGATTTCGCTCAAACTCTTCTAAGTAGATTTGAAAATCGTGTCAGTCAGTCAGTTACAACTTTGAAATTCGTACAGGCGTACATCAATTTAAGTTGCCATACAACAAAAGCACATAGAAATCGAATCGTCAATTCACTTCCCACCGTAGTAGTAGCGGTAGTAGCAGCAGTATTAGCGGGAATCAAAAAGATTAGGGTTCGAAGATATTATCTAACGAGTAAAATAATTATGAGAAGAGAAAAAAGAAGAAGGTATCTCTTGTTATCCTATGCTATACTATGTGTATGCCATATGCTTTATTGCAGTACGGAGTTGAAGATTTCCTATGAGACCAGAGGTTCATTGTGAACGTTGTGGATAACTTGGTATCGCTTTGGCAAGCTTTGCTAACAGTCCATATTACAAAATTGGTTATCTCAGGGTGACCGATTTCATTGATACTGGGTGGTTCTTTTGCAACATTCCCGAGGACCATTGTCATTGGGGTACTTTATTGCATATCACCATTGCTAATAATAATCATGAGTTTAACAGCCATGTAAGCCGGATGGATCGAATTGGCCTGCACATGTGGTGCATATTGATTGACCAAGCGATCGTGGATCAGAAATAATCACTACATATATACTAGTGTATATAAATATGGTGTGAATGATCCACCAAGGTTTCAGGTACCTCTTTGGTTGCGCCACAAGATTGAGCCAAACTGTTCACATTGAAATGTGAACACATGGGCCGTCTCTTTAGTTTTCTCCTGAAAACCTATGGAAATTTACCCTTGACAATATAAGGTTAATTTATATAATAAATGAAAATTTAGCGTAAGTTAGTAAGTAAGTCTTCTATAGATTTGTCTAGTTTTCCTGACTTTTGAGTAGTCTCAGTAGAAACACATCCACACTATTATATATAAGTAAAGTTTAATGAATGAAAACCATCACATTAGTAGGTGGAAGTTCACGCCCTTTATTCCACTGTTAACCAAAAATTTACATTTTCTGATTGAAAAAACATCACTTAACATCTTGTAATTTTTTTTATAAAAAAAATTATGTTTTCCTATTTAATTAATTGATAGTCTATTATTCAATTTTCAATTTTATTTTAAACAATAAACTTTGAAATAGTTCAAAAAACCGCCACCACCACCCCCCCTCGCCTCCTATCATTTAAAAATGAACTAAACAAAAATATTTACAATAATAAATTTGCATTACGGGGTTGTGAAGATTGTTAAGTCACACATTTTTTTTGAAACCACGAATCGATCAATGTTAGACCACCATTAGAAGAAACCTGGAAGCAATGAAAGACGGCCGTTTCGTCCTGGTATGGGACAACTCAGCAGTGCGCATCCACAACTCCTTCAGCCCGCGGGATTCGAACCCAGGACCTTCGGTATTGTGCGCAAACGCCCTGACCGTTAGACCACTGAGCCGATATCTAACGGTGTTAATGTCTAACTTGATCAAATTCACGGAGTTGCTCAACCTCATACACAGTCTTCGTGGATGCGCACTGCTGAGGAGTCCCATACCAGGACGAAACGGCCGTCCAGTGCTTCCAGGTTTCTAATGGTGGTCTAACATTGATCGATTCATGGTTTCAAAAATGAATAATAAATTTGTATTCTATTGTTTGGCTTTTATTATTATTATTATTATTATTATTATTATTATTATGTAATGATGACCTTAGAAATTGATTTTTTTTTCATTTTTCGCCCTAATTGTTAATCATCTGTATTGTATTGTTTGTAGTGCTCTATTCATATATCATTCAATCTAATTTCCAAATAGTTAACCACACGCAAATTTAAATTTAACATATTGTTACAGAGAGTATGATTTATTATTGTTCTATTATTATGATTAATATGATAATGAATAGGTTTTAAAAAGTTTAATTTCTATTCGTAAATCAATGCTTCCGGTTAACTTTATGCTTATTCGTAAGAAAAAAAAGGAAATCATATTTGTAAAAAATCTTAACGATTGAAATTAAGGAGTAATTTCATTACTTACGTACATACATAGTCATGCCTATTATCCTTCGTGGAGTATAGATTGCCCATCCTGAATTCTCCAACTAGCTCTATTCTTGGTTCTCCTTTTCAGTTCGTTCCAATTGTTATTCATTCTTTTCATTTCTACGTACGATTCTCAGCGTAATGGGTCTTTCGGTTTTACCTCTTGTCCTTCCCGACCGTAGCTGCTACCTTGACGTGGTGGTCGGACTTGCCTATCGTCATGACCCAACCGAGATATACTGGCTGGAACATACATATGTTCCTGAAGGTTCTACCAGGCCAGGCAGGTCGATTGGAGAACGATCCGACTAAAAGCAGCTACTCAAGGTCTGAGGGTGAGGTCGTACTGCTGACTGACTGCAGAGGGGTGTGACAGCAGTAAGGTGTTTCCCTCGGACAATCAGTATCTGCAGTGATGCTGCCTTCTTACAAGGAAGGAAGGGTTAGAAAAGGTCGACCCTAAAATTGTCACACCTCACCCTACCTCACGGACTTCCGTCTCCTTGGGTAAGGGTGTCCACTAAGGGCTTTCAAGAGCGGAGCAAATACTCAAAAAACCTTTCATAAGAAGGCCGTGCGTGACCTGCCTCGAGCAGTTTTCCCTTGGGTTCTGCGGTCACGCACCTAGGTCCCTGAAGAAACAGCCTTCCACGGTGTGGGCAGCCGGGAAGTGACAACCGCCCTCATACGCGTAACAGCACACGAGACCAAATTGGTCCAAATCAAATCATTCCTACACCTCTTGTCCTTTCTTCTTGAGGATTCCAAGTTAGAGCTTACCTCATGATGCAGTTGGGTGATTTCTGTATTGTTTATCCTATCGAACTCCAGTATTTACTACCCATTTTCTATAAGGCTGGAAGCTGATTTGTTCTCTACCATAATAGACTGTTGCCAATGCTGTTTGACCAACAGATCTGCGGTATCTTGTGTAGATAACTGTTCATATACACCTATATATTTCTCCAAGTTTCCCCTCCATACAATAGAACTTTTTGACGTATAGCTCCAAAGTTCTGACTTCAATATTGATTGAAAGACACCTGTTTTGAATTCTACATGCCCTTGCTTTGCTGATCCGTGTCTTTGCATGTGCATCCGATCCATCTTGTTTATCAATGATACTGCCCATGTATGTAAAGGTTTGAACATCTTTCAGAGCTTCTTCATCAAGTGTAATATGTTTGATGTATGCTGTGTTTTATCGGAGGTTCTTGTTTTTCCCCCTTATGTATGTTGACATTTATTGCATCAGTGGCTGATGTTGCTCTGGTCTTCTTCACCTGCAGTTACTACTGTACTAAGTCTAAATCGTTTAGCTGCATTGGAATTGTCCATTACTCAGCAGTCGTTAGTAATCTTAAAGGAATTGATGTATACTGATGGACTTTATTCTGTTTCACTTAGTTTCATGGTCTGTGACGTTAAAAAACTAAGTCGTTCGGGTTCCATTTGTAATTATATAGGATTAAGATATATATACAATTGATTGATCTGTGATTCATGACTAATGTTATACTTAAATAGTCTTTTATTACTGATTAAATTCTATCGATTAGGCGTTCGCGCGCAAGACCGAAGGTCTTGGGTTCTAATCCTGCGAGGTGCAGGAGTCGTGGATGAGCACTTCTGATGAGTCCCATACTAGGACGAAACGGCCGTCCAGGGTTTCTAATGATGGTCTAACAATGATTGATTGATGATTTCAATGTGTAACCATATTGTAACTGATCAATCAATCAATTATAAGCCCTTTAGTCAATAAGATGTGTACTACACTCCGACCAATCAAATAAACTTAAATACAGTTCTATCCTAATCTATAGATCAAGTCAAGTAGGTCAAGTTTTTGTAAACAATCATAAATCTACTATTCTATGCCTTATTAAATTTGAAATATTTGTGGTTACAATTTGAATACTTGGCTTAATTAAAACAACACAGATATAAACAAGGATTATTGTTTTCATTTAGAACGTCATCAGAATTTGTTCTAATATTCATGAATATTTATCATGAAAATGTTAAACCAATCTAGGTAATTTATTACAAGTCATTGATCACAATGAAACAAAGGTTACGTAACTACACATAATTGGGTAAAAGTACAATTTTAATAACAGGATGACGGCTGTACTAGTAATGATAAGAATAATAGTTTGATTATTTCCACAACCCCATAATGCAATTACCTGTGTTCATTAGTGACTAGCTCCGAGAGGAATCTTCTCCGAGTTCTCATGAGAAATCGTGACCAGTGGTGATCAACCCTGTTCGGGTGTAGGCAGCAACTACCGAAGACAGTGTATGAGGTTGTGCAAGACCGTGAATTAATCGAAGTTAGACATTCACACCTTCAGATGCCGGCCCAGTGGTCCAGAGGTTATGCGTTTGCGCTCAAGACTGAAGATTCTCGGTTCGAATCGTGTGCGAGGTTCAATAGTCATGGATGCGCACTGTCACTGATGAGTCCCATACCAGGATGAAACAGCCGTCCAGTGCTTTGAGGTTTCTAATGGTGGTCTAACATTTATCGATTCATGATTTTAATAAGAAACTCAACAATCTCCACAACTGCCAAATGCAATTTCATTATCAAGAATGTCATTTTTACATACTGACAAGAATTTTTTCAAAAAATAGCTAATCAAGTTCTCATGCTTTTCTCTCAATATTCTAAATTTCTTTTACAGTTCAGTTGTAATAATCTTCTGAGAAAAAATTAATATTATTTTGTTTGTATTTACAATGATTCTTTATTCTCCCTTTTCAAATTGTAGGATTAGCTCGTCGTACAAATTCGAAATTTTTATTCGCTTCTACTTCAGAAGTTTATGGAGGTTAGTAAAATAAAATTATTTCATAAGTTGTTGTTTTGCGTCCTGGTATGGGATTCATCAGCAGTGCATCTCCACAATTCTGCAAACAGGAATCATCAATCAATCATTGTTAGACCATTATTAGCAACCTGGAAGCACTGGACGGCCGTTTCGTCCTGGTATGGGACTCATCAGTGACAGTGCGCATCCACGACTCCCTGCACCTCGCAGGATTCAAACCCGGGACCTTCGATATTGTGCGCGAACGCCTAACCATCGGACCACTGGGCCGGTATCCAATGGTGTGAATGTCT